TTTTTTTTTGCATTGTGGACAATTGTTCCATTATGTGATAAAAATACTGATTGCCAACAATAAAGTGAAGTTTATGATGTTGATCTTTTTATTTAAAAAATTGGATTATAAAATAGCTCATGATAGTTTGGATAGGGATTATTCAGGACCACCATTTTGGCTCAAATTTAAGGGAAATTTTACAGTTGCCTATGAAAGCTGAGAAATCTGGATGTTTTCAAAGTTTTCTTCCCTACTTACCGGTAACCTCTGTTCCAGTTCATGGATATGAATAAGCAATGGGAACAAATACCAATAAAGTATATACGCAATACATTTATCTTATAAATGCAGTCCAACAATGGTGATAAATTCATTTCAGGCTTATTGCTAGACAAGAGACCAACTGTTAACCAGAATGCTTTTACCAAGGAATCAAATTTAGACATACATTGCAGGCAGCAGATTCTGGTTGTCAGAAGGGATCCACATTTTTTTAACTTATTATTTTATATTTAATGTGAAAGATAAAGGGAATGTCTATCGTAATTTCTGGTTCTTATACCAAAATACTTTGTTTATTTTAATGTACTTTCAGTGTAAAGCAGGGGTATCACACTCAAGGTCTGGGGCTGGATCTGGCCTGCGGGGTGCTTACATTTGGCCCATGAGGCCGCCCTGGAAACAGCAAAGGACCGACCCGCAGTGCCTCTGCCAGCGAAAACAAGCTCTGTTTTTCCTGACAGAGAGTGTAGGAGGCCATTGCAGTCGAAAATGGAGCTTGCCATTTTCACTGGCAGAGCACTCAGCCACCTTGGGCACCTGCAACAAGAGTGATGGTGATCTGGCCACTCCCATCCTGGCCACGCCCATCCTGGCCCCCTGAATTGAAATACAACCCTGATGTGGTCCTCAATGAAATTGAGTTTGACACCCTGGTGTAAAGGATTCTTTGGTTACTTTATTGTGGAGAGAAACACCTAGACCGACCCCGATTATAAAGTTAAGGGAAATTTCAAAAGCGATGCAGAAATTTGGAAAATGATCAGTCAAGAAAAAGATCATCATATGCGGTCGCCTTAAGGAAGTTTCATAGCTTGCATAACGTGCTTAACAGAATACAGATGATGATTACGAAGTTGTAAATTAGTTGTGCTAATTTATTTTAAATTAGTTCCAGGATTATCTGGAGCTAAAGTATTTAAATAATTTAAATGATGTGTTCTATGTATCAAAATATTTCTTCTAGTAGATTTGCTGCCGTTGAGGTTGAAGACAACTATAAACCAGAGACTTCTTCAGCGAACTGGGGAAGTATTGAGATAGGTTCAGCTGGTTTACAAGCTACCACTCACTCACTTTCCTAGCATCAATCCAAGGAATTTCAAATAATAAATTTGCTTCAGCTGACGATTCAATATTTCAACAAAGATTAGCAAGGTCAGTTCTAAATATTCTTGTATTTCTCTGGTACATTTCAGAATTGCTATATTTTACAAAGCAAACTTACAAGCCACTGCAACTAGACCATTATGACCAATCATTATAAGGAAAGAAAAATAGTGAACAAACACCTTAATTACTTCATATACAACATCCTACAAATAGCCTGTTTTATCTGTTCCCTCTATTTCAAAGGTTCTGTTTCAGGAGGCAACTGGACTTTCTTGTTTTTTTCTTTTGAAGAAAAAAAAATCCAAGTCTAGTTGCTTCCTGAAAAAGGACCTTTGGGACAACCATGACCTGGATGACTGAGAATCTCTACAGACTTGTTCCTTCCATTGTAACAATGGTTTGTATCTTGCTACAAAACTAATTGTTTGCTTAGCACTTTAAGTGGGATTAACAGGGAGGGAGAGGGTTGTTGGCAGCATTCCTGAGACGTACTTTGCTCTCTACCTTCCTGTAAAGTGAGTGTTGTAATATCAGTCTAGGATCTATTACCTGTCTACTTAATTCAAGACTTATACAAAGGATTTTATTTCAGTTCAAAATTACTTTTTCTCCTCTAGGCATCTGAAAATGTTTTTCTTTTCTACTCTTTAAATCGAAGCCAAACAAGCTTTCCAGCCTTTTAAAAGAATACCTCTATTCTCAAATAGGTAAATTATGTCAAAGGTAAATTGTTTAATTCCAGCATAAATGTCTCTGATCCTCCAGGCAAGGCTAAAGAGAAAGACTAAAATAGCCACATCTATCCTTTTGAATGCAAATGAGACACCATTATTACAGCAGCCTTATTTGCATTCTGGTCCTGCAAAAATGTCACAGCCACATAGAGAAGTCTAATTGCAAAAGAAAAATCTTCATTGTCATTGTTCTCTTTAAAACTCCCAAAAAGCAGCCTAGTGTTTACAAAAATACAGTCATCCAGCAGAAAAATATAGCTACATTTAAATCAGTATATAAATAACATAAATAACAATTTTCTTAATCTAGGCACTAATTACAGCTAAAAAGAAAACTCTCTCTCTCTCTCTCTCTCTCTCTCTCTCTCTCTCACACACCCACACACACACACACACACACACACACACACACACACACACCCATGACCCAGCATAGGCACTGAATATATTATGACAATGAGTTAAACTGTTATATGTTATTTTTTTAAA